ACCTGCACAAGTGCCAAGGTCGCCCCTGCAGAATTGATTTTCTCTTCGTTGGGAGCAGTGCTGGGCTCTTCAAATCATGGACAAACAGTATCCCACATTCTTGATCTTTAGTTCACAAACACTTCTTGTAATGACTAAATACTCCTGACATTTTAGAGATGTTAGCTCTTTATACAATAAAGTTACAGCAGGATACAAATAACATCAGGCTGATCCTGCCACGATTTGTTCCCCCTGTCTAAATCACCAACAAACAATATCCCACAGTTGTTTATGTTTTTAAACCCATTTTGCACAGAGAGGCATTTTTTGAAAAATGTATTGATAGCAATGTTGAATATTATTACACAGAAAAAAAAGCAACTACACGTAAAATAATCACACCGTGACGCCTCTGCCTTTCTAATGGGAGGGACAGTAACTGCGTGTAAAACCTGCAGATAGTCAGATTAACATTATTTTGTCTCTATCTGCCATTCTGCAATTCATCTCATGTAAACAATAACGTGGTGCACAGCGTGACGTGAAAAAGGGCACATACCTTTGACGTTGTGTGACGAACTCTGTATTCCTCGTCCACACGTAAACGCAAAAAAGGCGTTTTAAAAATCTCAGTTTCCGGTGATTCGAAACGCCGTTTGCGTGTGGACGAAACAGCTTTTTTCAAAAATACCTGTGTAGGTGTGGACGTACCGTAAAAGATTTAGTAGTTTATTTTATTACTACCTGTAATTTATTGCAGATTACTTGTATTTGCTTAATTGTTTTACTAAATGTTTGAGGTGTAAAATAAACCGCAATGGAGCAAAATATGGGTGTGTGTGGTTGGAGGATGTGTTAGTGCGTGTGCGTGCGTGCGTGCGTGCGCGGGGGGGACATTTTTCTTGTAAGACAAAGGGGGGCCCAGCAAAAAAAGTTTGGGAGCCACTGGCCTAGAGCAAGATGTACCTCCAGAGAAAAGTATACAGCCAAGTCCTGTCTTTTAGCACTCCAGTATACCGAAGATGAAACCACACCCACCTGTCACTGAAAAGCTGATGTGTTCTTAATTATACATAACGTTAAGCCTCAATATAATTAAAAGGGGTGAATTGTGTAAATGTTCACTTTCCATACAGCTGCCATGAACAGGCAAATAATTAGCTGTAGAGACTGTAACAGTTTTTTTAATAATAGGCTATAAACATGTGCTCTAAAAGTGGCCGCTCTAACACGTACTTTATGGTAATTGAGTCACATTTAGTGCCTCAAGTAGTCACTTGATGAAGTGTAGTTTTCAGCAATTGCATAGCAACTTAATTTTTCAGCCTCAGAGGTTTCTCATTTTATTATACTGCATTGTTTTAAATGGGAATCACTGACAGGTATTGCTTTAATTTTGGGGGGCTGGTACTGTGTTTCACTCAAGACAGCAAAATCTTACACTAATCTTATTCTTGTTATAATATCGGTTTATTACAGTATATTTAACTTTATCAGTCCTGCTTAAAGGCTTTTTTTTTAAAGAAAGTCCAATAGGTTTTTTTCACATTTTCATTCAGCTGTTGGACTGGATTCCACCCATTTACTCATTAACACACTATTACCAGTAAGCATGAGCAAAAGTTCTGGATTAAAAGTTTTAGTGTTGGCTTAATTCATCCAGCTATTTCTTGACAGGAATTAAAATACTGGAGGCAACTTGAAACCGAGGCTTGTGTTTTGGAAAGAAAACTACTGCCTTCAGTCATACAGCACGCCCACTCCCAGTGAAGCCCCCTCATCTTTGGAAGTCATTAGTTCGACAGGCAGGCGGCATTATGCTGATGGCGGTGAAATGATAATTAGAGTTGGAGATAGATTGAGTCAATATAAGTGTAATTAATTTTTAAGTGTGAGGTTTATTAGTACAGAGGCGATCAGGCCACTAATGAGGGCCTGATAGAACTTCTTAAATAGTGCAACCAGATTAATAGCTTCTGGCAGTAGAATCTACTTTTATTTATTTGCTGCATTTGTTTGTATATTTAGGCCAACACTGGGTTGATCATTTGTGCTGACAAATGAGCTTTCTGTGTATTCATAAACCAAATGGAGACAAGCTGCTGCACAGATTACACACAGATATTACACTCACATACCCTATGTCTGTGACTTTAAATAGATTTTTTTTCTGCCCATTAAGGCTCATCTTTTTAATCGTGTCATTAATTAAGCTTAGAAATACTTAATGAACTTGCTCAATTAAGTCTGCCCTCTTTTTTGGTTTAATCCTCGCTTTAAGCACTGACTAACTGTCCTCTCTCCCTGCACCCACCCTTTACATCTGTTTTGTGGAGGATATTTCTCTGCCAGCGCTCCTCAGACATACTCTTCTCCTTTGTGTTGGTGCTTCACAGTGTGTACACTCGTTGAACAAAATACAGCCATTTCCGCTGCTAGCCTGCTTCTAGGAAAAGGCTGTAAGAATGTTGGGAACACATGCACTCACATGAGAGATTTCCAAATCACTGCTAAATGAGGAGCAGTTACTTTAATTATTTTAGATTCTTCCTTGTGGACATGGTTTGCAGACCGATGACCTCTAGTGTTAGTGAAAAAATGATTCTCTTTTAAACCCTGTGATAGTGTTATACTAATATTAATCAGGAATTTACCCTGATATATACCAAGAATTAATTAGGCCAAGAATTAATTAGGCCAAGAATTAATTTTCAATCCACTGATCACTGTTTACAAATGCTGGTGGTTTATTATTAAAAAAAAATCTAATAAAAGGCTAAAACATCTGATGATAGCTGTGATTGCATTCCAGCAAATAGCATCCTGGACCAAACTCAATTCATTTGAACTGAATCAGCTACACCAGCAGAACACCAATGAATTCTCACATTGCCTCGCCACATAACCCCAGACCACAGTAGGCCATCTAATCAGTACTGACCTTTCATGGAAAACAACGCCATATTATCAGTATAGGCCAGGAAGAACTGTAAAATCTAATAAGCTACCAGTATCTAAAACAAATGCAACCTCACTGCATTAGAAAAACTAAGAACAGTTTACTTCAGATAGCTAAAGCAGGCAACCTGTTCATTGTGAGTGCCAGTAAGCAGTACTAAATGAATTAGTTCAACTGGCGTTTATGGCATAATTAACAAATTCATTTAGTATGACTCGCTCTGAAAAATCAAGTCATTCAAAGTGCTGTGACCTCACAATGAACAAGCTGCCTTAACTGACGCAAACTTAAATGAAGGTAAAACGTTTGCATATATCTTTAATAAGTGTCAGCAACTTATGACGTCTGTCAAGGAGGTTGTGTTTTTGTAGTCTTTGCGTGTCACTGGTAATCTGTAAATGCAATAGCTCAAAAAGTTTTAAAGGAAATTCTGATGAAACTTTGTAGGGGTGTAGAGTGGGGTCATATTAGTAAATCTATTAAAATTTGACATGCATCCATCAAGGTCTTCAGGGTCAACTTAAAAAGCCTTATAACTTGTATGTGTTGCCAACATATAGAAAGAACCAATGTAAAGATTTTAAATATGATGTCAAATTTGACCTCTGACCTTTCCTTCAAGGTAAATACATGATCTTAAGGCCAACAATAATATAATACCGTAATAATCATATATATAATCTTCTTTGGTTTTGATAACATATAGGCATATAGGGAATGATTTATGGGGATAATAAATGTCACGTTACTTTGGACCTCTGTGTCTTGTCCAAGGTCAAATGAGGTCAAAATTCTTATAAAATCTCTTTTATCTTTAAAACTATACTTAAAATCCTACTGCCTTTGTTTTATGATACTCATATATGGGGATTATAAACATAGCATTATAGTTTGCTGCCAAATATCATGTCACGTTAAGCCTCTGACTTCACTTTCCTATTTCACGTCTGCTTTTCTTTCAAGTTGACCCCAAAATGTGTTATACATCTAAAGAAATTATAGTATTCAAGCAGGGCTTTTTTGAAACAGTCGTGTCAATCTTTTTGCAGGGCACTGGCAAATGATCAGAGTTTGCATGTAAGCACTTGTGTTATATTCTTGCTTGGCACCGTGGTGGAAAAGTTATCATAATGACCAAGCACAAAAAAAAAGAAGTGAGGCAGAAATTCAGTACGTGCTAGGATTTTATCACATTGAGGAACAACAGCAGCTCAGGTGGTGCTGCAGGTTGTCCTTGACACAGATCTCATCCTGATGTTCAGGTCAGCTCCTTGCACAGTTGCCATGTGTGTGAGTGGTTGAAACTGTAAAGTGTTCCTGCTGTTATGTTAATAGATAGATGTGCTAACGTGAAATCGGCCCCATTTGCTAGTCGCACATAATAAGAACACATATTTTCCTTGCTGCATTTTGTCCCTTTGCTGTCCAATAGTCAGTAAAAGTGCATGCATCCACTGAAGGATACAGTAGAATTTTTAGTGCCATCTGGTTACTGGTTCTTTAAACGTGTTTCACTTTCCTCAGTCGCTAACTTGGTCTGATTTTCTGAACTGTACAGTAAATGTGCTGTAAAGCTTAAAAGGCAAAAGACAGTCATTTATCCGTTGCTCGTAACAAATTGCAAAAAAATGCAACTTTCTCCTTAAAAGGCAACACAATGTTCAGCCATCCTCCCAGAAATTTGATAGTTTTACAGCTTTATAAATTAGCTGCCTTTTACATGACCACTTGAAAGCACACTTTTCTCTCAGATATAAATCTGAGGCAAGGTTACAGTTTTGATCTGTCTTTTTTTTGTCTTCTTTATAATGAACAAACACTGCAGCATAAAAACCACCATTTCTAAGCCCGTGTGAATGGTGAGCGTGAGTAGTCCCTCCCAAAACTGTTAACGCATCTTGTAAAGATAGTCAGGGGAGCTTTTTGTAGCGTGTAATGCTTTTACAACATCACAAAAACCGCAGGATTTCAAAGGCTTTTCTGTGGCTGTGCTATTCGGGTCACAGAGGGGGGAAAACACAAAAAACTGAACTAATACATTTTTGGTTTCTCTTTCTAGCCTTCTGTGAGGAGGGATGCCGAAGCGGCGGGACCTGTGTGTCTCCCAACACGTGTGTCTGTCCCTCGGGATTCACGGGACACCGCTGTGAGACAGGTAAGACCTGAGGACATCACCTGACCCCACACCTCTCATCTGTCCAGTTTGTTCAGCCGTCTGTCCCAATTAAAATCTGACACGAGCATCACGTTGTTTTTATTGACTTTCAGGAATGACATCGGCAGGATGGTCATTAGATGTTTTCTTTTCCTACTTCACTCTACACACCTACACACACCTACACACACCTACACACACACACACACACACATTTTCATGCTCTGGCTTTAAAGTGTTGTTTAAATTGGACACTGCAGAGATTGAAGCTCCCAAGAGAGTCATAGAAAGAGTCAGCTAATTGTTCCCTACCTTCCTCTTCTCCTTCCTTCCACCTTCTTCCTTTCTCCCTCTCCTTTTTTACTCTCCCCATCATTTCCCCCAGTTGTCCTTCCTCCTTTCTTTTCTTTCTTTTCATTTTCTCCTCCTTTGTCTTCTAACTTCTCTCGTTTCTCCTTCCTTATGTCTTTTTCCAGTTTTATAAGCTACTTCTCTTTACCTCTTTTGCTTCCTTTCATCCTCTGCCCTCCTTCCCTGACCTCTTCTTGGCCCTCCTCTGCTTGCTCATTTTCTCCTTTCCTCCTCCACCCTTGTCCTTGTCTTTCTTTTTACCCCCCCTTCCATTTTCTCCCCAGATTCTGTTCTTGCTTTCCCCTTGTTCTTTTTATTCCTATTAGCTTACTCCTTTACCTCTCTTGTCCATCTATCTCTACTTACACAACCTCTGTCTTCCTCTCGCTCCTGTCCCATCCTCCCCTATGCCATTAAACCTCCCGTCTCTGTGGTCTAATTTCGCTGAAGTGATCAACCTGCTCACATGGAGCACAGGAGTCACGGGTCAGCTATTTGTAGCATGTTGCCATGGTTTCTCTTTAGATAGGTCAGACAAAACCTTCATATTTTTACATATTGAATACATCATTTGTGCTGCTGTCAGTCAGCCTCCTAATATGTAAGTGTAATGCAGAGGAAGATTCTCTTTGCTGTTTTATTTTGTGTGTGTGTTATCTTCATCACACATTTTAGACCAGCACCAGTGTCTTGAAATTAAATCCACACTGTGCATATTGAACTGATCAGACTTAATTAGGCTGTATAGCACATCTTCATTAGGAGGGAAAAATCTATGGGCATGATAATTTAACTCATTCCAAGTCTGATCTCAGAAAGCAGCCTAACTCTGAAGGCTCCAAACTGTAGTCAGCTACTCATGAGGATAACCAATCAATTAAAAATAAAAGTTTCAAGACCAGACAAGAAAGAAAGGTATCGTGCTTGAAATCATGAAAGACAGAGACACTATTGGTTTGATTTCAAATGTTCATAAGGCTTAATTTGTTTCCTGCACTGGGTCTCCCCTGGTGACGACCAGTCTGCTGTTTCCAGCTTAAAAATCGATCCCATGTTCTTTTAGGACACGTCTCTCCCTGCGATGCTCTGATCCAGAGTATACCCTTACTGTTTGGTCAAACATCATTCTCAGATACTCCCTGAAGATTGTGAATCAAATGAAAAAAACAAAACAAAAAACATACACTTTATGAGCCAAATGTCTCAGTACACACCTGTGTAGCATCCAATCATTTGTTCAAACAAGAGGAGGCAAGACGTGTTTCCAGGTTTAGAGAGAAAGGGGACTGTGCTGTGTCATACATCTATACGCTGTACCACAGCTTAAAGTCTGGACCTCATTAAACATGTAAGGCAGGCTTAAATTTCTACATGCAGATACAGATACTCGGGTTGCAAAGACACCGGAAGGTAAGTTACACAAAAGAGAGACATCACTGTGTGACACAGACTGATCCTCCACTTTTTTCTCTCAAATTCATAACAATCATGAATCTACTAAAAGAATAACTTCCATCTCTATGACCTAACCACAGATCTGAAAAGGAATGTAAACGGAAATTCAAATAATATTGCCTGCAACATGTTTTTTTATCAGCTCTGATTTCGATGTTACATAAAATTACTGAAATATAAATTTCCACATTTAATCCATCGTCTGCTATAAGAGCACAGAATGGCTTTAAGAGCATATGGAAGTAGCTGGGCACACATTCGATGATATGCAGAAATGGACAGCTGGTTAATGGGATGAAAGGTCTTGCAGGTCCGAAATGCCGAAACATGATTTATTTTCACTACATTTTAGTGTATTGACCATGAATAATTTTGTCTCTATAATATTGAACTTTACTCAGTTTCTCTATGGACTCTATTATATTCAATTGTTAATCAAATCAGTGTTTTTAATTTAGTTTCATTCATCAGTGGTATGAAGAAAACAGTTTGATTGTTAAGGTATATCATTATGAATTGTTTGAAACATGCAATTTTTCTATGTAGAGTCATTTAAATGTTCTATTGGAGGTGCACGTGAGAAGGCTTTTCTTTTTGGGGGGGATAGCCATGCAGGAGGTAGGACATAGGACGGCCGCTCGTGCGATGCAAATTACTTGCAGTGTTCTGAAATAGGCACAAATCAACACAATTAGACATCACACAGACGTTGTACTGGGGGGCTGGCAGGTTAAAGACTGTTTAACTCTTTTCCCCATAAAGACATTTGACAACAATGCTAATGAGCGTCCAAGGGGGAAAGTGTTTAACGGTCTTTAACCTGCCAGCTCCCCAGGACAAAGTCTGTGTGATGTCTAACAGTGCTGATTTGTGCCTGTGTGAAAACAGTGCAGGTAATTTGCAGCTCGCCAGTGGTCGTCCTTTAAGTTTTAGTTGATTCTGCGTATAGTATTCATATTAAGAAAACATAAACAAATGCAAAGTCCATTGAAAGTACTATCCCTGAAAAAATATAAAGACAGTATGAAATAATCTCAGATTTCATGTACATACTGTACCCGAACAGGAAGCGGTAGAAAAAAAGGGAAAAGCTTTGCTCTCATTTGGAACAAATTCTTCTTGCTTTTATTGACTAAGGTGGTTGCTGGATTGTGTGACTTTGGAATTGAGTGCATAACAATGTTTGTTCTATCTAAAAGGTTTGGGGAAAAAAGACTCATCTTTGTATAATAAGGACAGTTCTCTACCTGCAGGTTATAAAAACCTGGCAGTCCTTTGAATGTTTTTTATGTTTTGTTTTTTTTCTCACCAGCCTCAGCTGTGTGGGTGTAAAGTTTGCTTCGTCCCAGTTTCGGCCTTTTGAGTCTCTAGCTTTGTGCTACATATTTGTCATGTTCCATCACTGGCACTCGCCTGTGGTGTTCTCTGAGCTTAAAGAGTCAGTCCATCTTTAACTTGAATTTTTTGACTTTGTGTTCATGTCATTCATCCTTAAATTTTTACAAATGCATTTTGAAATAAAATACCTTCGTCTATGCCCAAATTTCTCTCCTGACTGAAGTCAGTGTAGTTTTGATTCACTGCTCCTTCTTCTGGAATTCGTTTGATTAAAATTATTAAATTAACCCTTGCTGCTTTTGCATCAGGAGATATATTCCAGATTTTATCGCATTTTTAGTCACATTTTTTTTTATAATTTACTCCTCTCACAGCCAAATCTTCAGCTTCAGATTTTCATCTTCAGTGAGTTAACGGCAAACAAAGTCACCACCTGTCTCATTTAAATTATTAACTTATTTTCCAACCCCTTAAATTTGTAGCTAAGGAGGAAAAAAAAACCTATGATTTCCTGTAATTCTTGGCTCTGAAGATTTGAATCATTGATCTGGTAATCGGCAGTCATTAGCATGCAGGGCATGTTTTGAAAGGCAATCAGGCAGAAACTAATTAACTCCCCTATTAACAGCATCAAATATCTATCAGTTAATTAACGTGGCAGTGAAGCTTCACAGCCGTGTTCTCCAAGAATGCAATATTATATGCAATATTATACAGTATCTCACAAAAGTGAGTACACCCCTCACATTTTTTAAAATATTTTGATCTTTTCATGGGACAACACTGAAGATATGACACTTTGATACAATGTAGTTAGTATACAGCTTGTATAACAGTGTAAATTTGCTGTCACCTTAAAATAGCTCAACATACAGCCATTACTGTCTAAACCATTGGAAACAAAAGTGAGTACTCCCCTAAGCTACATTCACACACTGGTAGCTTGTCATCACCAGTGTGTGAATGTGTGTGTGAATGGGTGGATGACTGGATATGTAAAGCGCTTTGGGGTCCTTAGGGACTAGTAAAGCGCTATATAAATACAGGCCATTTACCATTTAAGTGAAAATGTCCAAATTGTGCCCAAAGTGTCAATTTTTTTTAATTCAATTTAATTCACTTTTATTTATATAGCGCCAAATCACAACAACAGTTGCCTCAAGGTATTTTATATTGTAAGGTAGACCCTACAATAATGTTTGGCAACAATTATTTTCCAACACTGCCTTAACTTTGTTGGCCATGGAGTTCACTAGAGTTTTACAGGGTGACACTGCAGTCCTCTTCCACTCCTCCATGATGACATCATGGAGCTGGTGGATGTTAGAGCCCTTGCACTCCTCCACCTTCCATTTGAGGATGCCCCACAGATGCTCAATAGGGTTTAAGTCTGGAGACATGCTTGGCCAGTCAAGTACCTTTACCCTCAGTTTATTTAGCAAGGCACTGGTTTTTTTGGAGGTGTGTTTGGGGTTGTTATCATGTTGGAGTACTGTCCTTTGGCCCAGTTTCTTCAGAATGTCACAGACAGTGTTGGCCAAGTTACCTGAAAAAGGTAATTAGTTACTTTATTACTTAGTTGCTTAGTTACTTTTTTAAAACTTTTTTTAAACATTTAATATTAACATTGGAGCACGTTTGTTCAAAGGCTGTCTGCCTTTCCAGTATTCAGCTTTCAAGAACTACATCTTACTTGACAAAATCTCCTTTTGTGAAGCAGTGTTTGCAGCGTCTGAAGCTCATTATTATCTCTGAATCCATTCTTTATAAGAGAAATATTCCGAGTTGAAACTCCGGCTGAAGTTGAATCGGTAAACATTTGAAGAAGCTCTTAAAGTCTGTGAAATTAATCTTCC